TAACATCAAAGTTACGTTTTGGTTTTCATCGTTAAAATATTCCTAGATTATTTTTTATGTACTTATGTACAATTACAAATATTAACATTAAATTTTTCTTATGACTCCACTAAAATTTTTATTTCATACTTATTATTTTCTTTTTAATTGTATATATAACTATAAGTACCTACTTTTGATTTGAAATTATCAAATTATATTAAAATTTTATACGTATAATAAATAACCTGATTTTTGTTTTGTCTGTACTTCCAAAACCTAACTAAGTTTTACTTTATTTATTGTACACAATTCTAGATGTTAGTGGAATCTACAATCAACGTACTCATGTGTGCATACTTATGATGAAATTCATCAGCACTTTTGCTAACCTTCGAATTTTTCATATATAGCTAAACTATGCTTCGACAGCGAAGCTCCAGCTCGAAAGTATTCAAAGAGGAAAAGGCTTCGAACTAGCTTTTCAGCTACTTTACTGCGAAAATTTACATTACGCTATCTGGCAACGCTGATGGTCCCAGTTAATATTGCGACGTGTTTTGGAATTAATTTTATCAATCGGTAACTGATTCACCTACCAAAGAAGCAACTGCATAAAAAGAATGTAATCTTATTGAAGTACCTTACAGCAACAGACCGAATGCGAGCTTTGCTTGCACCAATAATATGTATAAGTGGTAATACTGCAGCACCAATGGCCTGAAATATGCACAGGTCTGTTACATACAGACATTTTAGCCACCGCACAGTGGTCGGATAATGCATGTTTTACGCGATAAAGGCCTATTTTTAAACTGTGATAAATTAGTTGGAGCAAAGCCATTCTTATTCAGAAATGTCCAGCGAACTCAAAGCTGGTTAGTATTTTTAATAATATGTGCTGAGCAAGCCGTTGAATACATTTAATTCAACGAATTCGATCATGGCTTGTTCTAACAGTTATGAGTTGATAGCTTTCTGAACGATTTTTTTTTATGGAAACTTTAAATTATAACAGTAACTGCTGGTTTGGTGTTACTTCATAAAAATGGAAAATGATGATTTCATATGAAAAATTACATAATAACATTTTGTTGCCAAATTATGAATATCTTAATGACACGGATTATTGTTCAAGAAATATTTTTTTTCAAAAAGGTATAAAAAGGTTAAGGATCTACGAAAAGAAAAGCCGCGCATACTCGCGCCACTTTTACGACACTAGACCAACTTTAGCCATTGTTCCAAATATCATAAGTATATAAAACACTACGGATTAATGTAATTTTTCTATATTTAGCATAATATTATTTATAAGATGTGTCTTGACAAACCTGAAGTCAATTTTCAAAAACCGAAAATAACGGATCCAATATGGTGTCCAAGAATAAACAAAATTTTCATAAAATTTGATATTTTGAGGTTCTTTAGTTCGCTTATTATAAATTTCAAACAAGTTTTGGAAAATTCAAAATCAAATCAAATCAAAGTCCAACATGGCGTCCGAGATTTAAATAAATTGTTGAATTTTTTTGAAATTCGCTATTTAGAGGTTCGCATTCATGGCAACTCCGAAGGCCGTTAACGGAAGTTATCGTTGCCGAATATTACACCCTTCCTTATTGGACACATGCGTTATTCTTCTGTATCCAATATGGTGGCCAAGAATTTAAAAAATGACTAAATTTGCATGGCATTTGGTATTGCCGTCGGTATCTATGTATGCCTTTACCAGTGGGACATTTTTCTGAGGAAGCCGAGGAGGTTCGCAACAAAGACTTAAGATGGTATCGCGAGCATAACACTCGAAAAATGACCAGGAAGGAATCTAACGCAGATTTATTTCACATGTTAATTTTAACATCTGATCCTGTTATATCCAGTATGAGACGACCCCCACTTCGAAAAGCAGATGCCATTTTCGAAGAAGTTGCCATTCTTTTGCGTGAACTCAACTAAAAATGCATCAGTTTTTGTTGAAAGTGACAGAGATGAGTAAAAAAATATTTCGTCATTTCTATTTTAATTTGTTGTCTGTAATATTCGTTAATACAGGGTGTTTGGTAGACGTTTGAACATACGTGAACTGGTGATAGTTTTTTGTTTCTCTTTTACTTTCTCATTTACAAAAATTCAAACCTGAACAACGTTATGTAAAACTGACAAAATTTTAGGTTTGGAAATCACCAATTTGGTATAAAATAAAAAAAATCTTAAAAAATTGTTTGGGCTGAACATATATATAAATATAATTATTGTTATTAATTCGTAATTTGACCATAAATTCATTTTAAATATGTTCGATCAAATACAATAAATCAGTAATTTTGCCTAACAAATATATTGTGTTACTCAACTAAAAATGACAGTTGATTTGACAGATGTCAACTGAAAAAGTTTGAATGTAATATAGAACTCGAGAACAGTGAGCCTTAAAACGTAGTACGTTTACTTCTTGGGAAATTCTCCTTATATTTAGAGAAATTGACAGCCCATTCGACAGCTGTCAAATCTCAAGGTTTTATTTTCACGTAAAATTCGTGACTAGTGTGTCTAAAACCCTTACCAGTAGCATTTAAAATCATTTTCTTATTATCAGAAAAATTAGCAGTCAATTTGACAGCTGTCAACTCTCGAAGCTTTAATTTGACGTAAAAATCGTGATCCGCATATTTTAAAACTTTATCAGTAACGTTTTTAAAAAGATTCTCTGCTTTTTATAAAAATTCCAGTCCGTTTGACAGCTCTCGACTGTCAAACTTTTAATTTGACATAAAATTCGTGACTAGAGTGCCTAAAAACCTAATAAGTGGTATTTTCAAAAAGATTTTCTTATTTTTAGAGAAATTAGCAGTAGATTCGACAGCTGCCAACTGTCAAACCTAAAATTTTATGGCATATTCAGATTTAGCATAACAAAGATAATACGATGATGCATTTTTATTATAATCGTAACAGTTCTTCTAATTTTTCGCGTAAAACATAGCTTCTCCGACCACTGTGCACCGGTGCATAGTGGTTCAAAAACAGGGATTTACTATTCATAACTCAATGGAGCCTTAATTTTTCAACCATTTGATTCATTTAAATGAAAGCTTATAAAGTGGGCAAGAGATCAGTTGAATACGATTTTTGAATGTTTATTTGCTGATATTAAATTGTTCAGTGCAGCGTGCAGCAAAAGTAATAATTTTGAAGAAAATCAATTCTCCTGTTGTAGTTAATAAATGCTACTTACTAAAAAGTAGTTGAAAAAAATTTATTTTTTTAATTTTTAGAAAAATGTTGGGTATGCAGTTTCAATTCAAGAAATCAGGCTCAATTGATCTCTTGGTAGTTTTATAAGTAAAAAAAAAAAAATTAATCAACTTGGTTAAAAAAGGAAGGTGCCAGTGAATTTATGAACAGTACATTACATGTGTACATTAGGGCGGTCCAAAAACAGTAAAGTCGGAATTGTAATGCTCTACCCCTAGGATTGTTCCGAACCGAAAAAAGTATACCCCCGTTTTTTTATTGTGAAATCAAACAATTTTTAGAGGTCGCTCAAAGCTCTCAAAGTTTTCCATGTATTTTTATATGGAGAGAAAAATCAACTTTTCGTAGAAATGATATAGAATTCTTGAAAATCAATATTTTTCGATCGACTAGCTCTGGTTCTCTTCAGGAGACTTTCAATAACAATACCCAATTGTTTATGTAACTATTTTTTAATAAAAAATATTTTTTATTGGTCCTCCATTGCATTTTTCGGCGTTTATGGCGGACCCATAAATTAAAGTTGCGATCGGACCATACTGCAGTTCCCACTTTGCTTTTTAGAGTTTGGAAGAGCTTGTTAACTTGTTGATCCCTATGTAAATTCCATCCTCAGCCATTAGTTATGAGAGGACAGTACAGCCTTTGCCAATTTGTTAGCAGAATTTTAGAAAAATCGGAGCGTATTTTACATATATGTACATATATACATACATATGGGTGATTTAGAAGCTGTCATAACTTGTCGCATTGTTATAAATTTTATAAAGGTTAAATTTATTTTTGAGTGGTTCATAGCAAACACAAAGGAGTTTTAAACGTTTTAAAATTGATGACTTTATACCAGTATAACAGTTGTGACACTTTGTGAATCACCCAGTATTATTTTGAGGATATATGTACATGTGTATGTATGTACCTTCATTTCGGTTACAAGTACAAAATTTGCAGAGTTTTTAGATTATGTATATATAAAATATATTGCTAATGACTGGTTTACATTGTTTCAGTAATATTTTAAGAAAGGGATCTTAAGCAGGGTTGTATTGGAATCGGAATTATCTAATCTGGCGTGGAATGCATTGAATCCAGTTAGAAAGATCGACCCGTTTTCTTCATCCAATTTGTATTTGGAATAATTTAAACCAGTTCTTTATATAAATTTGTGTTTGGAAATTGAACATTTTGCTTATTCTTTTCATCTATTTTTGTAACTTTGATTTGAGCTGTTCAGAATTTTTAGCCTTGTAAACAAATATTAGCACGAAATATACATACTACTACTTTATAACTTTTGTTCATTAAAACAATTAGTTTCCAAACTCGGTTGCGTTTATAAATTGAATATATATATATATATATATTTTATAGAGGAAGACACATGAGGACGAGATTTGTAGATCAAACATTTAAAAATATTGTTTTTCCTTCAACGCGTTTCGCTACCACAACACGAAAATCTACATACATATGCATTAAACTGTTTCAACAAATAGTTTTCGGATCTTCGATAAGCCTTGGGATTTCGTATATTTGATTAAAAAGATGGCGCCTGCTCCAAGATGGGCTTGAAAGCCCTAAATGCGGTATTGCGGAGCGTAAGTAATTTTTGAAGAAAAACGAACTATTTATTACATCGTTTCAGCGTTAAATTGTTGTATAGAAACCACTTTGTTTTTCTGAAAATATATGACCTTAGTTATCGAATTATCCTTTGATACGAAATTTCGAAGTTAGTGAAAAATTGAAATTTCAAGCGCCGGTAGCGACCTCTTAAACCCACATGGAGCAGGCGCCATAATTTTGTTTTAATCTAATATACGAAATCTCAAGACTTATCAGAGATCTGAATTTTATTTTTTTTTTTTGAAAAGTCTAATATGCAGGTATGTACTATATGTACCTATGTTATTTTCTTACATAAATTTAAACTTACTTATTTTAGTTACGAATTTTCCCTGTACATTGTTAGATGAAAACGTTATGTAATGTACTTATACAATGCATGTTCTCGCATCTAAGTGTTTATGTATGTATTGTAAATCTCTACACATAATTGCATACATTACGTATAAATAAGCAGGTACGTATGTATACATACGTTTTCAAAAACACTTCCAATTACAATGCAAATACAACAAGTAGTAATGTATTAACTCAAAACACGCCTCGATTTTATACCAATTAATTTTTGTAGGTAGCACTCAAAGAGAATAATTTTCATTACTCGAATAATTTAAGTATTTTCTTTCATAACACCGTGCGACGGTAAATTTTACACCCACAAAAATTAATATATTCGCGAATATATGAGCAAATTAAAGTAAAACTGCGTTCTTAATTTTTCACTCTGACGTCAGGATTTTTTTTTAATTATTAAAAAATTTCAGTGCAATGTAGAATATCAATGTTGGTATCAAATAAAAGAGAAAATGCTATAGAATTAAAAAATATTAATATTTTTGGTGCAAATATATATTAAGGTCTAATATATACACGACCACATCCTCGAATTTCGTTCTCCTAACTTTATTGGCTTAAAAAAATAAAATTAATTAAAAAGCGCATTTTTAATACTTATTCGTTCTTGTAAACCAAAAACTTTATTGTTTTTTAATTCTACAGAATTTTCTCTTTCATTTGGTATCCATATTATTATTCTACATTGCACTGATTTTTTTTGTAATAATTTTTTGAATTAATCATATCTTTAAAATTTCAAAGTCCTTTAAAAAAATCCTGACGTCAACGTGAAAAATAAAAACGCAGCTTTACTATATTTAGCCCATTGTTTCGTGAGCATATTGATTGCTTTGTGTGTTTTGAAATTTTTTTGATTTTGTCGTACGGTGTAATAATTCAAAGGAAACAAGAAGTATTGAGGCCATCACTTTACACGTACTTGTAGTAAGTACTAATCCTTATTCTGAACACTTGAAGAACCTATTCTTGGTATACAAACATGTACATATACATATATAGGCGATACTTATACATAGCTTAGTTTTTCAAAAATCCCTGTGACAAACAACAAAGATAAATACATACGTTTACGCATATGCACATAAATATGTACATATGTATGTAAACTTATTAGTTGAGGACCTTTGGATGGCAACAAGTTCATTTCTGATGGTTCTGATGGTAATGTACGTATGTAAGGACTGCACAAGTAAGATTTTCTTTTAGGTTTAGATACTTTTTTTTAAATATATATGTATTTCATTTCAGTTATTTAATTTCCATTTAAACGTGTATCTCGTAGTAGTCGTGACAATCCACACAACCGCTTGCCTCGCTAGCACCCGCCGCAACGGCTGCCTCCGGATCAAAGCTGGCCGCACAAATCATACCCGAAGCCGTTGCCGTCGGTGGTTGAACTACGCCACGTGGTGTCTTCTTCCGCGTACGACTCTGCCGCACGCGGGCCTTATGCTAGGAGGGTCTCTTCTGGTACAGACAGTCAATACATGTCGTGTATTCGGGCGCAGACGAGCTGAGCTGGTATGCGGCGATACGCTCGTGTGGACACTGTGGTTCGTGGCTGTACATGAAGGCGGCAGGTGGAGCGGCAGTGGCCGATTCTTGCGCTGGCATTTGATAATGTTGCCCCGTGTGCGGATCGTAGGCGTAACGTTCAAATGCGTTTTCAGCCGACTGCGAACGCAAGGGACCAGTACCCATTGTGTTGATTGTGTAAATGCGTTCGGGTGAAACGCCGTAACGATACGAGCTGCTTGTAGTGCTTTCACGCGATGTTGAACGCTCCAAGGATTTGCTTAAGCGACGCGTACTTGTCGTGGAAGTGCCGGCATCTCGTTGCATACCGGTTGTAGCTGCTGAAATATAATGATCACTACAGGTCTGATTATCATATATCGGGTAATACTGGTAGTAGGCTTCGGAGGCAGCAAGCGCTGCAGCGCGTTGTCCGGTTTCAAAGCTGCCATGCGCGGATTGACTGCGCTTGCGACTGCAGCGGTCAGGAGAACGCGATTCGAAACTTCCGCGTGGTGATTTTAGCGACGAGCGTGGTATATCAAGAGTTGGCTCAGAGCTGCGGCTGTCGAAGCTGCTACGTGGCGAATGCCGCTGGCAGAGACTCGTGCTGGCACGATCGGGCGATAGGTGTTCAATACTATCGCGTGGCGAAATATGTGGGGAAAGTGACTCGACGCTGCAGTCGTGCGCGGGAGCGAGTTTCTTCAGGCAGCTTCGGTCGGGACTCTTCGACTTGCTGGGGCTTGGCGGAGGCTTCAGTATGCCAGCAGCTGGGCTGGTGGGTCGCTTTAGTATTCCACTACCTTCCGAGCTGCGACGAGGGCTGGGAGTGCGCCGTCCGCTGGAAAGGCGATCGGCTGAGGAGTCTCGGCTGGAACTAGCACTTAATCGCTTACCCTGCTCACTGACACTAGAACGAGGTGATTTTATCTTTATTATGCGTACGGGCGAGCTACCTTGCGACTTGGAGCGGTCGGGTGAAATGTGGATACTCTGACGTGGCGACTTCGTCGTTTTCGATTTGGTGCCAGTACTAGCAATGCTGCTACTGCTACCACTACTCGATTTTTGTGCCTTCTCCGAGGGCTTGGACTTGAACACTTTATCTACTTTCTTGTCAATGATGACATGGTGCGCACCCGTTGACATAGCATCTTCCGATTCATCCTCCGACTTTTCGGAAGTTCCTGTCGTTGTTCCGGTGCTGTCAGATTCTGTGGCAGGCCGAGGGGGAGATTCGATTTCAGCCACTACCGTTTGCTGGGTATTTTCTACAACTGTCTGCGGCTCCGGCGAAAGACTTGAGTCATTCTGTTGCTGATCCTGTGTGTCCATTTGCAGATCTTGTGATTCGAGTGCTTGCTCTTTAAGGTTGGCCATGTAAGCGGCGATATCGTATGTGGTGTCAGTGAGCTGTTCGTGTTCCAGATCACTTAAGTGTTTGTCGACTACATGAGTTATTACATCGCTGGCGGAAGCCGTAGCACCGTTGCTACTGCTACCACTACTGACACTTGCCTGGCGCATGCTTGACTTTTTGGAAGACTCTTTTCCCGAATGATGCACAACCGATACTTGCTCAGCGGCGGTCAACTGACTTAGCTCGTTAGCGAAAATTTCTATTACTTCAATATCTGCTTTGGGCGATTGTCTAGGCGACAAACGCTTAGGAGTAGGGACACGATGTAAATTATTACCGTTACGACTACCTGTGTTAGCCATATCACCACCCCTAATTGTTATTGCTCTACTACCACTACTACCTAAACTTAAATTAAAAGCTGCTGCTACGGATGCAGCCTGCAAATCCGACTCGAGTACATAATCCATCTCTTCTCCACGCTCCTCCTCCTCCTCCACGTCCATCTCGCCGATTTCTATGCCCATCTCTTCGATCATAAACATCATTTGACCCGTGGCCTCCATAGCTGCGGACAAAGAGCTCACTGTCGCTGACGCAGTGGCTTCCATGTACTCTGCTTGAGGGGAAGACGATAGTTCGTTTGTTATTGAGTAAGTCTTACCTAAATCTTTCATGAGAACTGGCTGATAGCTCGATGGCGGATGGGATGATTGTATCAAACGCGCTTGACTACCAGTGCTGCCGACCGATAGGGTTGATGTGGTGCTGCTTGGTGAATTGTGGTTTGGTTGTGGTAACGGTGTGGATAGTTTGATTGTGGTTGGGGTATTGTTGGTGATGGTGGTGGTGGTGGTGGTAGTGGTGAGCATGTTTTGAAGCGAACAATCAAAAAGAGCATAGATAGCGAAGCGATGTCGTAAAATCAGAAAGAAAAAGTGGGAAGAAATAGAACAAAATATTATCGATTAGCCTTATAATATGTACAGGTATGATTTAAAGATGATAACTTTTAAAAGCATGACATAAGTTTATGAATTAAGGCAATTAAAAAAATAGAAAAACGTAGGAATTCCAAGGAGAAGAAATACATACATAAATGTATCGTAAATGCCAGCAATTTCTATTTGAATAGAAATAAATAATAGAAAAATATTTAGCGCTTGCACTTTTGATAAGTATTTGACCGAGATATAGAGTAAATAGAAAAATATATTAATATTAATAATATTTTTGCGTTTCCACTTTTGCTAAGTGTTTGGTCGAGCTTCTCTTCCAGTTCGTAGTGTGCGCCTTTATGTTGTTACTCAAATGGAGGGACCCAGAGTTTACCCCGTCCCCGAACGACAAATGGATTTTATGAGAAGCTTTTTCAAGGCAAAAATATACTCGTAGGTTTGCCATTGCCTGCCAATGTTCGGCCGCTATTTAGAAAAAAACAACCTCTTTCTGTAATTTATTTGGGATGTTGCTTTGAGCAGGGATCGAACCTTGGCCCTACCAAAGGGGTAGTATGCACCTCTAACCACTGATCTAAAATATCATTATCAACAAAAAAAAAAAAAAAATTATTTATTTACTGGTTAAATTGCAAGCGAAGTTGGCGAGCGGTACATAACAAAGATAACGGGTTTCTTCGCCTTCAAAGGAAGGCGCCACGTGTTACGAAACGGACACTATGATGGAAATTTTGCATGCACGATTTAAGGGTATAGTTATCTTTCGCGGAAGTGACGTGAATTTTGAACCAATGTTGTGCGATTTGACACCGCTAGGTTTCCCATTGTGAGCTTTTATGAAGTTCTCCCTTAAAGGTAACCTAACCCAAGCCATTTCTCAAACTCAGCCAGATCTATGCGGCAGAGCCAATAGAAATCGCACCACTCGGATCAATGCCACCTTGAGAAGCCGCTGATATTTGAGGGATGTTATATTCCAAAACCTAGCGGCACATACGCACAAAAAGGAAGTGACAAAAAATTGGCAACCGGCTGGTTCAGTGGAGACGGCGGGGTTGTTGGTGGGGAAGAGAACTAAACTATGCGATACAATTAAACCACCGACTTTCGGAGATGGGACAACAACAGTCATATGGGGAACGGCACCAACTATTAGTATGTAACGAACTAACGTACAGATATTTATAGTAGGGTGAGCCCAAAATTATGAGACAAGTCAATAACTATTTCAATGCGTTCAAAAGTATTAATATGACGAAACAGACGGCAAACAGCAACAAAAATGCAAAAACAAAACCCTGTTTGTTGGTGCAGCGTAGGTGAGGTTCAACCAAAAGGTTACGAACCCACTCGCATCACCGTCTGAGCTGCCGGAGATATTTTTAACCCGCCAAGTGATTGGGCTCTGAGTTCGGGATGTTAAAAGGGCGAGAAAGGAACACAGGGCAACAACTACCGACAGCACTAATGGCAAAATACAGGCAACAATACAAAGAATACTAAGGCTGTGGTCGGGATGTGCGTCGATCGCTGGGTGTTCCGCCAAGATTATGCCACCCATGTCCGATACCGAAACAATAACCTCGATTGTGTAGCCTGGCACCACTCCCTCGTCCCACGTGCCTCGTCTGACGCACAAACAAATCAAAGTGACAAAAAATCTGGCACCCCGATTGGTAATCCACCAAACAAATTTCGTTTCCTTTGTTTTAATCACTATCACTTGTAAACGCTCACAATAGGTATGTTTCCCTATTCGTGGCACACTTGGTTCTGCCCCGGTGTGCAGCTAAAAGTTGAACCGCAAATTACGCGCCGATTCGCAAAACCATCGGCCCTCAGTGCCGGTGTTGTTGCTGCCCGATGTATTAGCGCCGGATCGTCAATTCTAAAAACGAATTGGGCGTTTTGGCGGTTACCCCTGTTATGGTTTTTCGCGTCGTATTCGTTCATCGAGTGGATGACATCGAGTAATGGTCTAAGTGATCTAATAGAATCTTTGTAGAACATTTATCCGTTCTAGTGTAAGGGTGAATGTATTCATGTTAATGTTCAAGAGAGGTTGGGTCAATAAGTCATTGAAGAGTTGTGAATTGTAAAAAATGAAAGACCTAACGTAAGAAAAAATGCATTATCCAAATGGAAAGCGACTATATTCGGTCACGCTAAAATTCTTAGCAATTACCCCAAAATTCAGGTCCCCGGACTACATAAAACTGCCTTTCGATCTTGGAAAAAAGTTCAATGACCTTCAAGATCACCCTCCAGCTACATGGACACACACTCAAAAGACCTCTCATTGAATCTCTGGCAGTTACGAAAGAGGCTGCGCCTTGTCTCTTTGTCTAATGTAGCCAAGCAGCTATAAGGTCAGTGGAATGCTGTGAAACATCCTTAAAATTGGCGGTATAATGCAGGAAAGCAAGTTAATAACTAAACTTACTGCATATATTGTGTAGGTTCCGGCCGCTATCTACCTGCAAATCATGGCTTAAATCACACATGCTCTCAGAACCCAAATGTATGACGACCCTACAAATCTGGTACAGCTTCGACAAGAACGGGCCCGGCTTACTCATTTGCCTAAAACCTACTCTACAAGTGACCGGAATTATATTCAGTCACTGCTTGATGGTAGGCTTGCTGGAAGAATTGGCCTGCCGGCTTATTATTTCTGCCGCAGCTGCTGTGACATGGAGGAAATGGAAAGCATAGAACACTGTCTGTCACTGCTAGCAGACGCTCAGTTCATAATCAATTAATTGTCTATCTGGTTATACTACTAGGTGAGCGGACATACCTAACCTAAGAATTTATCTCCGGTTTAACCAATATTCGGGCGGTCGTCGCAGCTGAACGTGATACCTACTGTTGTCCCTGTGGACAGACCCAATAGAGGCTTCACGCTTCTGGGGACTTCCGTCAGTTGAGTTTGACGACAACGACCGAAATCTGGGTGGGGTTATTGTTGTCGCTGCAAAAACAACAAAATAGTCTAGGTAGGCCTTTTGACTACCTGGGGAGCTACTCTGTAATGAAAGAGCAATGCGATGAGATAGGCAAACGCCACTACGGCGTATGTATGTGTATATATTTCTCGTATTTAGTGCTGTTCAATTAACTGCACATCAAGGCGAAATTAAATACATAAGTATATGCCTACGGCGCAGTCCGGCCCAATTCGGACACTAGTTGGGTTTTGCATCTCCGATTTTGTTCATAATTTTTACGCCATGACACCAATTGACTCCTTTACATTTTTTTTTTTTTGGCCAGCCGTTTTCGAGATATCGATTTTTGAAAAAAGCGCACCATGACTTTAAGAAAAATGGAGCTATTGGGACCACATTTTTAATTTTCAAAACAATTTTGTAGTATAAAATCGAAAAAATGTTCAAAACCTTTTTTTTATTAAATTTAAAAAATTGTAATATGTGTAAAAAGTTAATTTCCAAAAAGTATAGATTTTTTTCCAGATGTGGTAAATGTCTTGGCCGTCATCGATGTAACAAACCCTTATCTGAAACCCCTTTCGAAATAAAAAATAGTCGCATGAAGAATGCTAAGTTTAAAAGAGATTAAAAAAGACAGGGACACATCCCGCTCGAAGTATTTATAAAATGCTTGCTGCAAATATCTATAAAATATATAAGGAAATGAATAGTTTGCGAAAACTTAAAAGCAATGAATTACAGAAATGATCGCTAATGTTTAATAGGAAGTTCGATAGTGCATGATTTGATCATTTTAGGTAAAAAGGCACGAGTTATATCTACCTTAGAGTCAAGTGGTTGGGTGTACGACCCAGCGTAGCTTTCGCTTTGATTGTGCCCTGCTGGGAGTCTTCTTCTCCTTCAGATTTGGTACCCGGATCCATGCGCTCAATATCGCTCTGGTGCATTTGTTGATGATGATGCATTTGTTGTTGATGATGTTGCATATGCTTTTGATGCTGCTGCTGTGGGTCTATAGAGGAGGGGATTAGGTCTATGTAGTTTGTGAGAGTAATTAATTTGGAAGAGCGCGAAAAGTTATACAAAAGATTGTATCCGAAGATTTTGATGTCGAATAAGCGAGAGAAAGATAAAAAAAAAATAGTAGTGAAGTAAGAAAGCGGGTTGTAAATTTTACTTAGCGAATACTTCAACTTTTAAGGCAGACAATGGTAAAAGAGCGAAATGCAGTTATTTAGTATTAAAAGGTGAAAGTTAAAAAAAAAACTCATTTTATTGCCGATTCTTGAGAAATATTTATCAAAGTTCAGAGTAGGTTGGTGACACTAAGTTATGAGCCTAAGTACTGGTATGTACTTATGTATGTAAATGTACCTATAGCATCGCCCACGGTCTTACTGCGTCCTCGGAAACCAGTTGGTTGTAGCTGCTGCTGATGCTGATGATGCAACATTGGCACATCGTCAGCCTCTTGGCTACCCGAGAGATTATCATAGTCGATGTTGCCGGCAGAATGACGTTGCGAACCGGATTTCTTTTTGGGTTTACCTAATGTCTGTGAGCCTTGAATGATTGTTATCTGCAAGGTAAAATATAAATTTCGTACAACTCAAACTTAGGCAGAGTATAAATTTATGCAAGCATTAATGCCAAATTATGTGCGTCGAGACCTGTTGTTTTGGCCGTTCCAGCGTCTGGGAACTACCCGAACCGCCACCTTGCGATGAAATTCCCGAAACTGAGCCGGAACTACCAAATCCTTTCATCGGAATTGACATGTTGCGTACACTTTCGCGTATGATCTGACGTATGGTTTTGAGGAATGCGTTACGGAAGTCTGCCGTGCTGTTCGAGAGCACGTAAACCTTTTCGGAACGGCGCTGCAATTGCGAGCGTAAGTGTATCAATTCCCATAAGAAATGTGAGTCCATGTCTTTTGCTGAAGAGGCGCGCACTTGCACCTCGGTGACTGGTATGAGCACTTGGTAGCGTATGATTTCCACTTCATTGGGGGCATTTTTACTCGAGACACCCTAAGTAGATAAGAAAGTGCTTTAGTAGTTTCAACGGTACTTAAACTATGGATCAATTTTTCACTATCTTACCATAAGTTTCTTCTTTTGACGCAAACGTTCTTTGCAAAGGAACACAACCGCTGATTTAAAAACAAAGCACATAGCGTGCAACTCCAAACCCTTCTTGATTTTGCCAAGGAAATCAGAAATATTCAGCCACTCAACGCCGCCATAATAGAGTAGATCACCTACATTGCCGAAATAAATGAAATAATTTTGGTTAAATAGTGTCTAGAGGGCGATTAATTGCTTTAATTGCTATTTATGATTGGCAGAAAACCCTAAAAAATGCTGAAAATAATAAAGCTGTCGAAAATATATAAAGTTTTTTGATCGAAGCCACAATATTTATAAATATTTCTAGACTAAAGCATTACTTTAAGTCTCTCTTCCGAAACGATTATGGACTCCAAAGGGTCTAGCGCAGAGGTTCCCAAACTTATTTTTCTCGTAGACACCTTTCAAAACTTTGCTGGTTTCGGTGGAGCTCTGATGCTCATTTCTAACATATTCCCAAAGCTCATCAAAAAATGTGAAGATTAAATCCAACGATGTAATTTTCCAAAACTAAATTAGGAGTGGCAAAAATAAAAATAAAATAAGTTCACAAGTGCGGCAAGAGCCCTATATACCACTCAAAAAATTTAAGCTAAAAAATAGGCTATCAAGTAACCGTTTTGGTTCTTTACTATCGAAACCAGATAAATTTTCGTGGACCCCCACTTACAACTCGTGGATGCCCATATACGCCAACGTAGGCCCCCTCACATGGACCACTTTGGGAATCACTGGTTTAGCGACATACTGCAACAATGGAAACCGTCGGAGAATATCACCTATGCACATTAGGTCAAATAATTACTTTTTCTGTGCGAAATTAATAGCAGCTGAAATATTTCATTATTTTAATGTAAAAAGATGGAAAACGTTAAAACAAGTGTAAAGGCAGTAAATAAAATTTTAAACAGACTTGGCTTTCGTAAAACAGAACTTACTGCTTTTTTGTATGTTCAAATGATGAGTATATGTTTTAGGTAGTACTCAAAAACATTGTCCAATTAGCTTGGAATGACACAAGTTATTTTCTTACCATACACAACCCGCTCCCCTTTAAAATGAGCTACATAGTAAAATACATAAGTATGGTCACATGTACATAAATGGTTTCTTCTAGCGATTAGTTATGGCATTACCGAAATTCCTAAATTAAAAAAAGAAAAATATTTGCTACATGTCTCGCAGATATGTCTTGAGGAGAAGAGATTACTAAAGCAGTTAGTCTTCATAAAACACTTCATTTTCACTTGAGGTTTCAGTATTTCCAAATTCTCCACCGATATTATCTATTTATATTCAGAATACAAATGCTGCCTTGTGACACATTTACCAAAAATCGCTGGTAACTTCCTGAAAAGAATACGAATGTTTATATAACTAATTGGTTAAAAGAATGTTCAAAGCTCTATTCACTTTGAGTAAAAAAATTGGAAATTTCAGTCCGTGAGTTCTCTCAAGGATTTGCTTTTTTGCAAAGGCGCTAGTGTATTTGTAACATAACCTCGGCTACGCTACAGGAGATGAAATGTAATCCAAATTGAGGCTGCTATTTTTTTTGGTATCACATACTTCCATTTTCACTATTTATCACCATTAAAATGGATTATTTATCACCAAAAAATGTTGGATATATTTTTGGAAATAGCTAAAAATTCGGAAAAAGGTTGGCTATCCTATTTTAGCACTTTAGCGATAGCGAATGTTAGAATCCGGCTGATGGTCGACACAGTTGGCTTTTTCATTTCGAAAAGAACCTCATTAACAAGAAAATCAATGTTTTCAGATATAAATATTTTAGTATCCTCTCCAAATTGTTTCCCATAATTTTCGTATTTATTTGATAAATAATTGTAGAAAATACGCGTTTTTTCTTCTAAGAGTTTCATGGAACTTTCGCAAATATCAGCAGCACCAAATTTCTTTTCAACATGGTTGACAACCGAAAAAGGCTTTTCTTTTTTCTAACATCCAATCAGCCAAACTCCAAACATCTTGCCTTTTGTGATAGCATGATAGCCCACAAAAAAACCGTTTTTCTTGAAAACGGCTAAAAACGGCAAGTTAAGTAAAATAAATTGAACTCATTACATCTTAATTTATCCAGTTCCGATTCCAATTTGTTTGCCTAAAGTTAACAAAATTGTAAAAGCTTACATAAAATCATAAATGGAAATAAATTAGGAAATTTTTGAGGTTATGCAAATAAGTCAGTTTTTTGCAAACAAATGATAAAAAGTCACGTTTTTAAATTGGGACATAGGTTCTCACTTAGATATAGTTTTTTCCCCCATTTAAAATTTTCTTTTAGTTATTCGAACTTTACAAAAACAATGCACTTGAAATTTACAAAATAAACTGGTTGCGCAAACAACGTATCAATAACGTTTTGAAAGTGTAACTTTGGTTTATTGCTGTATAACGGTGTTTTTTATTTTACAAAAACTAATTGAAGTTTCTGTTATTTTGGAGTATTCTCTACAGAATGGCAACAAAAAATAATGTAAAACTGCCTTTACGAAATTGGACTTTCGCACAGCCAAATGTATCATTTGACCTAATGTGCTATGGTATGAACGCCTAGTATGGCGGAAAGCTATAGACAAAGACTTGAAGGGGATGAAGATGATCGTTCTTGTTATGGCCTTGAACGGCGCGCCAGTCTTAGAGAAGACGATATAGGAATCCAAAGGAATGATTGTGAGGTATCAAGGTCATTATGGTCACGGTTCAGTAGAAGCAAGACGGGAGCATTTTTGCTACTCAACAGATCTGTAGTAAGAGTTATTATCGGTGTTATCACAACACTCTCTCTGAGCAGAACCACCGCAATTAGTATAATGAGTAATCAATTGATCCATGCTAAGAATGGACAGCTACGTCCCCGAGCGGAAGTATGGAATTTCCCATACACGTCTTCCTGAGTTAATTTATTACATATCGTCGCCTGCATAAAAGATTGTCGTAAGCGCCATTTTGACGATGTTTAGTTATAGATGCAGTTACATATTTTAAAATATGATCTTTTGATTGGTGTTATCAGTTAGTGGCTACAAAATTGTTGACAAATGTCCAATAAGATACAATTTTATTAAAAATAATAATTAACAATAAACATTAAAAAACAATAATTCAAAAATATCTTGAACTAGTAACCAGAGCACTAGAATAATATCCAGAACGTTCCCACAAAAGAACCAAACGGGAACAAAAGTATTGGGTGCTCTTTGAACGAGAACAAAATGAAAACAAAAGTTTCGAGCACGTTTCCGTAAAGAACAAAATGCGAACAAAACTCTTGGGAAGAATAACAGAATGATAACGAAATTTTCGGGAACGTTTTCAATGAGAATGAAAGTATCGAGAACGTTTTTAAGGAGGATAAAATAAGAATAAAAGTCTGGGGAACATTCCGCTAGAGAATATAACGAGAACAAAAGTTTCAACGTTAAGAATAAGATGGGCGTATGCATATTGCGATGAAAAATCGTTTTAGTGAGAACCACTTTTTTTAATTCTATCTGAACTGCTCATTCACAGAAAAATTTTTAAGTTTCTATGCAAGAAAAGTTTGCTCCTTTAGTCTTTCGTTGATGTAATTTGCATAATTATCTTACATTCTTTGCGAATAGTTCAGATTAGTTTCCGTTTCGTTCTCTGGCAGAAAGTACCTCAGACTTTAGTTCCCAAATTGTTATTCGAGAGAAAGTTCTTACGACTTTTGATCCAGTTTAGTTTTTTTCCAAAAAGTTTTGGAGAATGTTGTTCGCATTTCGTTCTCTTAGAAATGTTACCGAAAGTATTGTTCGCAATTTGTTCTCTTTGGGAACGTTCCACAGAGTTTTGTTCTTATATAATTCCCATTGAAACCGTGTTCAACAGTTTTATTCATTCTGTTTCGATCACAGCTTTTTTTCTCGGTCCCTGCTAGTAACATTCCCCGAGTTCTAGGAGATAATCTATTGTCGCGTTTTTGAGAAATTGCATTCCAAACTTCAACCGCGATTTCACCAAATCCGCCGAAAGTAACATACGAAAATCTTTTAACCAGGCGACGATATACAAGCGGAAGCCCTGGTTAAAATTATTTCTGTTCTAAGTGTGATTAAAAAGCTTTTGTTTGCATTACTTAAATGTATTGTCGCCGCCGGGGTAAAGGTTGCAAACTCCATTTTTCCGATCTTATCATAGCGGTGTATATCTATAAGATTCCTCTAGGTGACACACGTTCTACCAAAGATCTTTTTACATTGCCAGAACGCTGTTAAGGCTTTGGAGATCCATTGCTCAAAATGAGACTTCCATAAAAACTTGCTCTTTAAGACTAGACCAAAATACTTTACTTCGGAAGAAATTTCAATAATGACTGTTTTAAAGGCAGGGGTAATAAAGCCGTCCAACTTTCTCTTTCTAGTGAAGAGCATAACGCTAGCTTCGGTGGGGTTAGCGGACAGCCAATCCCTCCGTACCAAGTCTCAATCATACCCAGTGTTATTTGTGCTTTCCTGCTGACAGAGAAGGGCCTGCAATTAGGCAGGTAATATAATCTACATTGACCCGTGCGTAGATATTAGAGCCGTTAATTTTGACCAGCAGGGAGCAAATTATAAAGCACCAGAGTAAGGTAGAAAGCACACGGTCTGAGGGCAGCCCAATGAACTCCGCACGTGACATATTTATGCCCTTTTGCCTGACTCCTAACGAACCACTGCGCGATCATTGTGCGAATCTATGTACATAATTTACCAGCACAGAATCGAATTCATGTCTTAGTTGCCGAGTGGTTTTTAGTGATAGCATTGCGAATTCTGACAACCATATTTTGCAGAGCGGTCTCATAAGATTTCCCCACCTGATTAGCACGTTTATGCAAAGACAGAGGATGATGTGAAAGCGCCTCCAAGTATATTCAGACAGGCAGCAAATCGAGCAATTAGCGAAGCTTTCTCGTTTAAGGCACTAATTGAGCTCGATTCATCATACAAAATTTCAACAATTGACATGACAATGACAATTCATAATTGCCCGATTAGTGCTTAATTGCATGCCAATTGAATGAATTTTTTCATGCAACCTTCCTGGTTATGTTTAACTTAGACTTTGAGGTATGTTTATTGAACAAATAGCAGTCAGCTGTTCATTCCCGGTCCAATTTTACAGCTGATATTCCATCATATATATTTTTATATGGATATATTAAGGAAAATAAGAGTTAGTTTTTCTTTTCGATACCATATCAAATTCTGGATTCCCATTAAACATATCTGGCTATAAAAAGAATATTTTCCAGCAGTTTGAGACAAATGAAAAGGTGAATCACTTTCTTACTGGTGTAGTCAACTACTTTTACCACCCTTTTGTATCATTTGCATGCCCACTAGAAAATGCGTTGAAATGTGGATAAATTAAGGAACTGATTTCCGATTTCCTGAAAAGTGATTGGACTACGTTCCAAATTTACCGTGTGTGTTTGTTCCGAAACCACTTTCAAACTAAATAAAGGTACCATTGTACCAACTTTTTCATCACTGTAGCTAATGGAGCAGCTGACTGCGCGACGATAATCGAGCAGCTGTTTGTAGCTCAATTAAATTTCTGTCTGAACTTAACACAATAGGCGTGAAGTATTCTGCTAGTACTCATGATTCATCTTAATTTCTTGTATTATTTTTAATAAACTTCTTGCTCCAATTATTTTCGCGTAGATGCGAAATAAAGCCTGCTTTATTTATAACTTATAACTTTAGCGTAAGTAAAAAAAAGTAAAAATTATAACTTTAGCGTAAGTAAATTATTTTATTATTTAAAAGGAGTTACCAGCTTTTGCGACCGTGGTGACGATCTATATATATAGTTATTTGGGATATATTACTTTTTAGAAAAGTGCTTATCTTATTCTAAAACATAAATTTCTTAAAAAAAATTCTTAGCCCCATTTTGACTAAGAATGCGTCCATTCTATTTGCCACTACACGTTGAATTTAAACAGGCGTAATGGCCTTCGTAAAGGATATGGCAGTAGAAAGCCGATGAATAGCTATCTACGTTTTTTTGATTGCCCTTCAGCTACAAAGCTATTCCACATTTAAATAAAAAAGACTTTTTATTTCCTAATTTTCTGAGTGGCTCCTATACTACGACTGAATAAAATAAATAAAAATACATATGTATATCCATTAGAGAATACGTCATTGCACACACCAGTAACCTCACCTGGACTCAAATCAATGGGTTGCTTGCATGACTTCTGATGTTGTCGGAACAAATGATCGAATATAGCACCATATTCCTCGTGAATTCGTTGCATTTCATTGATATGCTCGGCCACTTTTTCCATGCCCTTGAGGGCCTCTGCAATGCACACGAATAAAAACACAAAACAAAATAAATAAATACAGGCAAATAAATCACAAGTGGCTACATATACAAAAGGTAAAAGATTTATTTATGTTACTTATTAAAATCATATCATTAATTAAGAGGAAAAATTCAAGTGTTATCGAAGGCCATTGGTTGGCTATGAAAAAAAAAAAATACGTGCATTTCACGCATGTTAACGACGCACAAGTACTTACCGCACAAGTGTAGGTGTTCATCGGCTCGTGAATCGGTTAAATTCCGCAACTGTTGCAAAAGCAAAGGATATTTGAGAATGCGCTGTATTGGTTTGATTAAGTACGATTCCAGAGTGCTGCTATGTTGCTGCTTCGGATTACGTGCGGCAAGGAACTCCTGTAGTGCGTGATTACCTTCATCTGTGAATAAGGGGGAAAACATTAAAAAGGTAGAGAACATAAAGCAGTTAACACAGAAAATATTTAGATAACTCGCACTAGGTCATGTTTATACTGTGTAGATACGTACATATGTAAGCCCAAGGTGGCTAATGAACAAGGCCAAAAAATAAGCAAGAAAAACTCAATTTTTAGCGCTAAGATAAGCACTAAAACATTATGCTTGAAAATACGATCGAGAAACAACATACAAATTTAAGTACAGTTTAATGTTTAATTCAGTTAATTTCAAGGATTGAAAAATTACAATTGACAATAAAGTAAAGAATAAGAAAGATCTGCGCTGGTCATTCAAGCGCGTTGAACAGACGGATATCCACTGATGTGAATGGGGAGAATTTAAAAATATATACATACATATTTCTAGTGCTGTTAATGCATCTATGTAGTTATTAATTTTTTATTGTTATAGAAACTAATGCGGCTTATATTACACATAGATGCGAATCCTTATCTATTTTTAAAACTGAGTATATATATTTTTTTAATATTCTTTATTCTCACTTTAAGATAACTTATTTTCGTCAGTGGGTAGGTTCAGAAGGCACAGCTTGAGCGCAACCGTTGCTAAAGAAATCAGTAGAGTCATCAGAGTCATCTGATCGCCTTGATACATTAAATAGCTGTCAAATTCAACTCTCAAAGGTACACACAACTTGTTGACTCAAATGATCCGAAAGATACTACGATCATCTAACACGCAACTGTTCAGTTGATCATAAGTACACAACAACGCGTTCAGAAGGTGCAATCACAACAGTTACTAACCTGTTGCGCCTTCTGAACGTGCCCAATAACACCAACGCCTTCTCGTAGAGACAAACCTTTGGTTTACAATTTTTGTATGCTAACCGAAATGCATTTGAAGTTAAGAGTTAAAAAAAACCAAATCTGTTTTTACCTGGAACCGAGAACAAACGGTATGATCGAAAGTAAATGTAGTTCTCGTAGTTTTGTTCCCAAGAACGCTTCAAAATCAAAACCAAAATGAGAACAAAACAGTCGAGAACGTTCTCAAAGCGAATTATATACGAACAAACCCCTGTGGAATGTTTTCAAAGAGAACAAAATTATAACAATACTTTCGGGAGCAATTATAAAAAAAATAAATAAAAAATGGGAACAAAAGACTCCGTAACGTTTTGGAAAAGAACTAAACGGGAACAAGAGTGTAAAGAACTTTTTCTCGAAGAACAATTTGGGAATCAAAGTCTCAGGAATTTTCTGATAGGCAATGGCAAACCTCCGAGTGTATTTCTGCCATGAAAAACAGCTTCTCATAAAAATACAATCGCCATTCGGAGTCGGCGTAAAACTGTTGGTCCCTCTGTGTGTGTGACAACATCAAGGGGCACGCTACAAATCGGAGGAGAAGCTCGGCCAAACAATAACATATGTGTAAGCGCCAATCTATTATATTATTATTATTGTTAGAAAGTCAATGAAAGACTTAGAATACGATATTTGATTGCAGAAAAAATGATTTTTTTTCATAAATGGACAGTTTACCCTAATGATAAACGTTCAGGAAATTTAAATGATCCAGATTTCCGGGGGGAACGGGTATTTCATACCAGCACGTAGACTTCCCTCTCTTAATGCCAACTTCTCTAAACTTTTGTTCTCGTTTTGTTCTCTAGCAAAACGTATCTTATTTGATCCTAATTGAAAACGTTCTCGATTCTTTTGTTCTCATTGGAAACTTTTCAGAAAGTCTCGTTCACATTCTGTCCTTCTTGAGAACGTTCCCAAGAGTTTTATTCGTATTTTGTTCTTTAGGAAAACGTTCCCAAACCTTTTGGATATTTTCTTTTTCCCGTTAAAACTGCTCGCAATACTTTTGATCCAGTTTGGAGCTTTTGTGGGAACGTTCTTGACGTTATATTTTGTTCTCAAGCAGAACTTGATCAAAACTGGAACGCGTTCTCTGTCCCTGGTTTTTAAAAGTTTTTATTAAGCTTCACCTGTGTGTAATGAAATCTTCCAATCAACTACGATTCTAAGGATATGCGCTATAATAGCGATTCTTTTCATTTTTAATGCGTGGTACGCTGATCTCAAGAACTGTCAAAATTACATATAAAAACAAAGCTCAAGCAATGCTCAAAATAAATTTATTAAGCCGAATTTTCTTAAGCTGTGCGCAGTTCTTAAGCAATTTGCTGTGATTTCTACCACGACTGTCCGTTCCATTATCTTGTGGTGGCAGAGTGAGACAGCATGCTGTGAAATATTAGATCGTCGATGTTTTTGCAAAACCGCCCATCGACCAGTTGTACAACCGCTTAATCGCCGTTGTGGAAAAATGACATTTGGTAACCCTGAATTCCAGGCATCGAGATTTATGCATAAAAATCGTTAAATAGTTATTAAAACAGCAGATTTTTGAAATAATTGCTAGAGAAAATACCGCTTATTAAGGCAATGCCTTCAAAGAATAAACCATTTTTTCGCTCTCCTGTAAAATTTTAGTGCCGCAAGATAGGCGGTTTTGCAATTGGGCGATGGGCGGTTTTGCAAAAACATTGACGAGATGTAAAATTCCTTTGGACACTACTGTGCACACACAAATAATAATGGCAGTTTATTTCTTGACCGTTTTCTTAAGAGATCCGTACTTCGCCTTACATATATTTACATTAAAATAAGCAAAATATGCACGTTCGTTAAGGTTTAGCTAGGACACCCGGAATAATTAAAATAATCAATTCCAAGCAAAAGCTTAAAATTTTCGACGTTGCTAATGAAAAACGCTTACGATTTTAAAAATTATTTTGAGCAAGTAATCAACTAAAATGTTTTCATTTAGTATTCGATTTTTTGTTGTGTTTGGTATTTAGATTTAATAACGATGTGTACATTTGGGTTAGGCGCCACTATTACGCAGTGGTCGCTGTAATGTACATTTAATCACAGTTCGATGAGGTTTTTCTGCTACCTCCCCAATAATTCCGAGAATGAAACAGTTTCTCGAAGGCTAAAGAAAACTCTTGATGCTGTAGTTGCTGAATTACTATGGTTGGGAATTCGGAATTCATCTGTTTGGGTGCGACGATGAATTTGTTGTAAGTCTTAGTTCCTGTAGAAAAATACATATCAGAAATGTGTACATTTGTGTCTCTTCCTTCATTCGCCAGAATAAAACGCTAAAGCTTTCTTAGTACATTTATTTTAATCAATGGGGTTCCAGAAATAAATTCAATAAAAAATAAATCAAGTATTTTAACATTTTTAGCCTTAAAACTTTTATTTAGGTGAAAACTTACCGAAATTACTGTTTTTTTCAATGTCACATTGTCACTCGAAAAAGTCATAATTTATTTTATTTTTCTATAACTTTAAGAAGTTTTCAGATAGAATGTTAATATTAGAAGCAATGAAAGTTGACACCAAACGCAACATACCTGTGAAGTTTCAAAAGTGTGCCATCAATTTCAAAAAAAAAAAAATGGTAGTATGCAGAATATCTGCCGCAGCATAAGGAATGCTGTAAAAAAATATTTCCCGTTGATATTTAATTTTTTTTAACTAATATGACTTAATTAAAGGCGCGCGAGTAAACGTGTTGAATGACTGTGCATGGGGCGTAAACGTTACGTACATAACTACGGGCATATAAAAGGGAGTTGTTATTTTGACGTTTGTGATTATATCTTTTTTAAGTTTTAATTTAAATACATTTTCGCAATGAAATCTTGTCCTTTATGCAAAATTGAAGATAATGCACTGGGTAATGTAATTGTGCCACCAATTTCGTTTTTATCGAAAAATGAAGCAACTCCTGTGAATTGCTCATATACATAGTTCCCCTTATTAAGCGACTTAAAAAAGCGGAGGTTATATATTTGGCGTGTATATTTTCATTTTGTTTAAATCATCGTTACAAATACAAAATTTTTGTAAATTGAGTGCCGTGTTCACTACGAAAACACAATAATGCTAGACCCTAGAATACATCCTATGCGTTTACACTGCGCTATTAAAAAACTACTGAAATATTTTAGAGCTCCAGAGTTTAATAAGCTTGAAGACATGAAAACACTTCGGCTTCAAGCGCTACTGAAATTCTCAAAAAGCGTTGAGAAATTATGTTTACTTCGAATCAGGGCCGTCGAGAGAAAACTCCCCTATATAAATTTGCATTAATTTAAAAGCATGCGGCCCAAATCGCTGAAAACAAAACCGAGGGGAACATGGTTTCTTTCAGGTTTCGCAGATTTTTGATTATATCTGGGTCATGCATATTCTGAGGTATCAGACAATATAAATATTTACACGAATCTCCTAAATCGCCCTTGTGGCAAGATTTGTGAGATTTGGTAACCCTGATCTCCAGGCATAGAGATTTATGCATAAAAATCACAAATCGTTTTTTAAAACCACAGATTTGTAAAATAATAGCTAGAGAAAATACCTGCTCTGAAGGCAATGCTTTCAAAGAAAAAATTTGATTGCCAGAAGGTAGGCGGTTTTGCAAAAACAACGACGATATGCTTTCTAACTCATTACGTCATGTTCCAATGGCCATAGTTTTCGAAGGAAAAATCGTAAAGCATCGCTCGAAGGCGCATTCTGAAGGGTAATGGTCTGATTATGCATACTTCTCATAAATTTCAAACTGTAATTTTGTATGCACTTTGTATGTACTCCATTGCCCAGTAATTAGCAGAACCTGTAAGAACTGTTAAGTTTAGATTTTGCTTAACTGGTACAAATGGTTGTGCGAAGTTATGCGATGTATGCATAATCAGATCTTAAGAATAGTACTAAATGGCATAGAGCAAACAAAAGTTTCCATTAAACCGTTTTTCGTGTATTTAACCGCGAAAAACCTCAACATCTTTGAGCAGTTGTGAAACGACCTCAGCTGCACAGCAACAGAAACTTTAAATTCTGTATTCATAATCATCATGTTCTTAATTTCTTTGGATTACATGTCAAATCGCTAGTGTACTGAATTC